GTCCTGGGGATGTGATTGTGTGTACCTCTCTGGTCCCCTGGCCCCTTCCTCTCTGGCTCTTCTCTGACTCTCTGCTTCCTATATGTCATGAGTTGGCAGCTTTTCTCTGTACACCCTTCCACATTGATTTGCCTTTGAGCCAACCTTTCAGAAGTTTAAGGACTGAAATTCCTTAAACTGTGAACTACAACCTTCCCTCCTTAAATTGTGTATGTAAAATGTTTGTCCCAGCAGTGAAAACCTGGTTATAAGGAAAATCAATGGGTGTACTCTTGAAAAAATCTCTTGGAGATATATTTATCTCCAATTTGGGTCCAGCATCATTAGTTTACAGCTTTAAATAACTCACTTAGCTTCCTAAGATTCACTGACCTCAAATCATACTACTGACTTGAAATCATACTACAAAGCCGCCATGATAAAAATGTCATGCTACTGGCAACAAAAGCAAAAAACAAAAACAAACAAAAATGCAGACTCGAGGGTCAATGAACAGATTAGAAGATGCAGAAACAGCTCCAAACACATTCCTCCACCTTATCTTTTACAAAGGGGTCAAACACCTTCACTGGAAAAAATAAAGCCTCCTTGATAAATGATGCTGGGAAATCTGGCTTTCCACATGCTGAAGATTAAACCTAGACCCATATCTCTCACCATGCATTAAATTAAAATTTCAATAGATCAAAGATCTGAATATTAAAACAAAACACTAAATCTACAAGGCAAGAACTTCATATACAAAACTCCAGTTACACAGAAAATAACAACTTGGATCTCCTTTTGCATAGCAAAAGAAACCACCAAAAAAGTAAGAAAAAAGACAAAACCTACAGAGTGGGAAAAGTTTTGCTAGCTGTTCCTCACATAAAGGACTAATACCTAGATATCTAGGATATGTACAAAGCTCAGATGAAGAAACACAAATAGCAAATAAATATATGAAGTATAAATGTATGAAATATATGAAAAAATGTTAAACATCACTGGTCATTCAAGAAATGCAAATTAAAACAACACTGAGATTTTATCTTGTTCCAGAAAGATTGGCTCTCATCAAGAAATCAACCAATAACAAATGCTGGTGAGCAATGGAGGAAAAAAGAACCCTTCTCCTCTGTTGGTTGGCATGTACACTGGTGCAACCACCATGGAAATCAGTGTGGAAATTCCTTTAAAAACTAAAACTAGAAGTTCCAATTCATTCAGCTGTTCTTCTTCTTGGTATCTTCTGAAAAAGTTAAAAACATTGCCCACAGTAATATATGCACACCCATGTTTATAGCAGCACGATTTGTAATAGCTAAATCTGAGAAACAGCCCAGATCCCCATCAATGGATGCAAAATGAGACATTTTTTGCTGGATATAGTGAGGAAATCAAATTACAATAGAATGAAGTCCCCACTCTTAATCTAGTAAAGATCACTGAATCTTTTTTGAAATTAATTTTGTTTGTACATTTTATATATACACAATGAAGACATTCATCATAGACAATTTGTGCCTGTATGTGATATAACTTGATTCTTCTTTTTTCCCCAATAGCCTCCCTTCCCTTCAACTCCTCTTTCCCTCATTATTTACAAAAGCTTTATTTCCATTTTTTCATTGTATTTTCTTTTCCATTTCCTCCTTTCCTATGCCTTTCTCCTTTGTTATCCACTTAGGACAAATCTTCTAAATGTTATAGTGTTTGAATTTAAATTGTATTTTTGTATAGCAATATCAAATTGTATCACTCTTATTTAGTAGTGATTCTTTTCCTGCAGAGAAAACAGGAAGCAGATGTGTTGGATACAACAAGAAAACAAAAAACTTTTTTTTTTTTTTTCTGAAACAAGGTCTCACTATATGTCCAGTCTGGCCTTGAACTTAGAGTGCTCCTCCTGCCTCAGCCACTCATGTGCTGGGATTACAGGCATGTACCACACACCCAGCAGAATAAAACCCTGTACCCTGACAAAGCAAACCTGTGCCCTGCACTGTGTTCCTAAAACAGTGTTTTTTAAAACTGTTGGAACCCTCTGCAAGCAACATCATTTTTCTAAACCAATAAATATGTTTTAATTGAGCTTCTAGGTTAACATTTGATTTTAAAAACAAGACTCTTGTTAAGAATATGCTATTTTAAAAAAGAATGTGCTATAGTTAAAACACACACATACACAGGGATGCATGCATGCAAGTCTGCTAGGGCAGGAGATAAGAGACCTAGGCATGGATCCCCAACCTGCCACTTGATCTGAAAAGAGCCATTCCACATTTGTGGGCCTCGGTATCTTCTGGGGGAAAAAAAAGAAGAAGAAGAAGAAGAAGACGTGTACAGGAAGGAATAGCTTTAATGTCTGCCAGAGGACTAGTCTTGTTCAAACATAGATATGTCCCATTTCAAGAAGTATCGAGAGCTGGGCATCATGGCACACACCTGTAATTCCAGCTACTCATGAGCCTGAGGCTAGAGGATCACAAACTCAAGGCTAGCTTGACTTAGATGTAGCTCAGTGATAAGAGTATCCCTGGATTCAGTTCCCAGTTCCACAAAAAGAGGATAAAAAGAAAAGTCTATATATAAATTTTGTACTTATAAAAACAGATAATTTGCTGTTCACAAATCACTCTGTGTGTGTGTGTGTGTGTGTGGCGGGGGGTATTTATGTAGTGCTAGGCATTGTACCCAGGCTCTTATGCATGCCAGGCAAGAACGCTACCACTAAGCCATACCCCCAGGATGTAAATGTTTCAGCACATTGGAATAGGCAATGATTTTTTGGATAAGACTCAAAGACATGGAAAACAAAAGGCAAAATTAGAATAATGCAATCATATCAAACTAAAAAGCTTCTGTTCGGGTTTTAAAAAACAACAAAGAGACAACCTGCAAAATGGGAGAAATATTTGCAAATGATACATCTGACAAGATGTTAAATATCTAGAACATGTAAGGAATTCAATAAAGTCAGTAGCAAAACAATAATAATAATAACCTGGTTTTTAAAATGAGCAATTAGCCTAAACACAGTAGATATTTTTCAAAAGAAGACACTGAAATGGCCAAGTATTTGAAAAACTCTCAAATAGTAGTCATCACAGAGATGCAAACCAAAACCACAGTGAGATATCACCTCATTCTAATAAGAATTCATTTCTTCTACATTTTTTTTTTTTGTCTTTTTGCTTTTTATCGGTACCAGGGATCGAACTCACGACTGCCTGCTTGCAAGGCAGGCGCTTATGCCGCTGAGCTAAATCCCCAGCCCTCTAATAAGAATTCATAAAAAGACAAAAGATAGCAAGTGCCAGTGAAGGTGTGCAGAAAATGAGACCCCAACCATTATGGAAAACAGTGTAGAAGTTTCTAAAAAATTTTAAACGTAGAACTACTGTGCAATCCTATAACCCCATGTATGTCCAAAGGAAATAAACTCCACATGTTAAATAGATATCTGCACTAGCGTATTCATGGCAGCACTACCTACCATAGCCAAGATGGGAAACAACCTAAGTATCCATCAACTGATGAGTGGATAGAGACAGTGTGGTATGTATACACAATGGAGTAGTATTCAGCCATAACAAAGAATTAAGTTTCATCATTTACCACAACACATATGGAGCTGGAGATCATTATGCTAGGTGAAATAAGCCAGGAAAGGTACCAGGTGTTCTCAGTCCTATGTGACATATAAAAATGTTGGTCTCATAGAAGTGGAGAGTACAAGGCAGTTAGCAGTGGCCGAGTAGAAGAGGAGGAGGGAGAGCTTGAGTGATAGACGCTGAGTTACAGCTTAGATAAGACTAAGACAATCTGGTGTGCAATTACATGGGAGGATGACTGGAGATCAGTAACCCACTGTGCTAAAAGGCTAGGAGAAAAGTTCCAGTGTTTTTCACCATAAAGAAATTATATATTTTTAAGGAGTTATGTTTAACCTGATTTCAAAATTATACAATGTACACATATATGCAAAAAATCATGTAGCATCCTATTAATATGTAAATGTTTATATATCAGTTGAAATTAAATTAAAAGTTTATAAAAGAATATGCCATTACGAAGAGAAAAGATTTCTCCAGAATTTCCTACAATAGTGGAAATCTACTGAAGTTAGAGTATGATTTTAAGTATAAATCTTTCATTTTTTTATGCATAGTTTATCACAAATACCTGTGTCTAGCAAAAACCCTTTTCTCTGTATTGGGACATTCACAGACAAGATTCTATGTACCTACATGTCTGTGAGCATGTGACATGTCTGTTTTGGGAAAAGTTAGGACTGCTAAACCCTGCTTCAGATATTCAGCCTAAACAATGGCAGATACCATGCGACTCATTTGCTTGGAGAGAAAATAAATCATGACTTCCTCTGAGTTGTGGCTTCTTCATCTCAGAGCACTCTTGGTCCAGAGTTCTGGAATCGAGCCTGAAAGCCTAGGATCATGCAATCATATTTCCCCTCCTTTAGCCACCTCTGGAGACTGCATGCTCAGTGGTATCGTTCAAAGCATTTTAGTACATACTGGCTCAAGCTATTTTCCCCCAAAGTATGTACCACCGAAAAATTTGTTTCTCATCTCCCCAAGAGTATGTGTGCTCCAGATGTCTCTGAACTCTCGCTGTAGGATGTGGTGCAAATGATCCCAGATTGCCTTGGTTGTCCTGACAGTTTTCCTGCGAAAGGCACTCTGCTCTGCCAAAGCTGACCTCCACCCTACACCTCCCCAATGCGGACAATCCAATTTGCTCCCTGTCACTCTGGGCTGCCGATTCGGATCAGAGCGATGAAGGCACAGTTACAGATGGCAGCCTCGTTTAATCTAGCGATTCTCGTGTTTGTGTATTTTACGATGACATTTTCCCCAGTATTTAGCTATGTCTCTGACGTGTGCATCAACATGGGACGCAGTTCTCCCAGGTGCATTTACGTGAAAAGCCATTTTTCACTGAATTTTCCCAACACCTGGAACAGCTTACAGTGAGCTTCTGCTGTCTGGTTGCAGATTCAGAAGATGGTCTGAGAGCACAGAAGCAGCGGACACCTCGCCGGCGATGTCAGCAGCCCAAAACGTTGAGTAGCCCTGAGGACACCATGTACTATAACCAGTTAAATGTGAGTTCAAAGTGGCCATAAAGCTGTTTCACTGGCTTTGTTTCCAGTTAATAATTCTGTTATTAATACCTGTTCCAGCCCCTCCAGCCCCACCCCCACTCTCTTATGCTCTCTCGTGAACATGTGCTTAGGCTCTTTATCTGTTGCTTTCATGTCAGGATGTCTGCCTTCACGGTGAATAATTGATGTGGTTTATCAAAGACGAGCAAGATGCATGCTTCATCAGGCTCACTTGAGCCCTTTGATCAAAAAAATTATGCTGTGACTTCTGATATTATCAGCATCTGCTTGCATTCAACACAAAATCACTTTGAATTAAAAATTAACGACTTGCTGCTTTGCTTTGACTGTGTGTTCTTGGGCCTCTCCACAGGGAACTCTAGAATATCAAGGGAGCAAGAGGAAGCCAAGAAAACTTGGGTAAATATCTGTCTTCTTAGTTCTAAGCAACTGTAAACAGAAGGGGTCCTTTGTGATACTACAGAAAATGCAAAACTTTCCAGAGAGACTTCTAAAAATATTCAACCCGGATAGTGTCACTATTATTGACAGTGGAAACTATTTTTCACAGTAGCAACAATACAAAACTTGAATCTATTCTGTCCAGAAATTTGCCCTTGTCACCTAAGGGAAAATGTTATTTGTCATAATTATTCTAAGAAATTTTACTTTCTTCATAATTGAAGACATGCAGAAGGTTGTATAAGAATCTTTCACAAAGAAGAGCATTCCATAAAGGACAAATAGGCCATTTCCTCCACTCTGTCCTACCCTGGGTCTTAAAACACACACAAAAGAAAACTTCTCCCAGGGGTGAAAGAGCAGAGTAATGACTTTGTGGCTTCTTTGATGGGTAGCGTCTCGCTTGAGAATAGAAATGAAGGAGATACTTGGTACAATCTTGAGACTTGGGGGAGGACTGGAAAGAAGCTTTTTCATCTAGAGGAAGCCAGGTGGAGACAGACAATTTAATCATGTAAATCAAGTTGCAGTAGGACCACAACTGCCACACAGTATGAAAATGAACCCATTATCACTCTGTGACCCAGAGTCAAAAGGCTACATGGGCAAGAATTACTATCTCTGTGCTGGGAGACCTGAACCCCTCAAGCTGTCCTTCCCTCCAGTCTGGGGAGCCAACCCTCTTCCAATGACTCAAGCTTTTGCCGTCTCTGTGATGGAGCATTTGTTTCCTTTTCTGTTGAAAATTCTCTTCTTTTCTTCATTGCAGCCAAATCAAAGTGCTGGATGGGGAAGATGAATATTACGAATCTCTCTCCCCCATGGCCTGTGTCTCTGAGGAGGCCAATGCAGTCCACTCTTTCTTTTTTAACTCATCCTCAAAAGGAGATTATTTTGCTCAACCTTGACTTAATGCTTCCTGATCCCAAGTCTGTGCAAGGTGAGAACACTCGTGGTAACTGATTGACAGTCATTGAAAAAGGCACTATTATGGAGTATCTTTAGACTCATAGCCTCTGTCCCAGCCTTACTAAACAATATGCAGACTCTTAAATGCTGCCCGTATTTCTACCAGTCTCCACATGTGTTGTGTAGCCTGCGCTGGGCAGTCTCTCCTTTTCTCATTTCATAGGTCCTGGCTGCAGGACGCCAGGATGCCTCAAGCCCAGCAAAGACAGTCATTCAGGCCTTAATGTCTAAGGAGGGAGCAGACAGTCTCATCTTAGCCAGTCACAAACACTGACAAGTTTTCTTCTATTTCCCGCCAAATTACCTTTCAAGCCATGCAGCATCTCCCCAGCAGAAACCCAGGGGTCCCTTTCCTGCTGTCTTCTGCACCCTCTCCTGCAGCGAGGCTTGCACCTCCCACCTGCTCCTTGGCCTGGGTGGGTACTGAGCACACCCACCATGTTAGTAGTGAAAAGACAGGGAGTGAGAAGGAAAGAAAATTTGCATCTATGCGAGTCCAGGTCACATTATGCTGTCACTCCACGCACCGGCAGCTGTTTCCACTAAGCTGTGAGAGGCGGCCAGGGAAGGCTCTGCTGCTGTCCATCTTCATGCGCACAGAACCTAGCGCAGGGCCTGGTAAAGCGGGCATCCAGTATACGTGGGGTGAACAGAGAGACTTCATCTAGTCACACACGCCTCTGACAGGACAGTGACTTTCAGTTATATGTTATACTGGATAATTTTTTTTCTTACACCATTGAATCTGACTTTTCACTCAAGGCTGAGCTGGTCCTATTACAATGATAGTATGTAGTACTCGATATGATTTGATACCACAAACTTTTTTGAGCACCTACTATATGTAAAACAATGTGTGAGATTACTGTGTATTAAAAAAAAATTTTAAATCTTGTAAGATCTTTTCTTTAGAACAGATGTTATTTTTTATACTCTACAATACTTATCAGATAGTATGCATGGGAATACTTGTATTTTAAGAAAAATAACTTCGAACATATAGAAAAAGTATTGTTTACAGAGTTTTGAAAGAGAAAGCATTAATAAGCATTTTATGAACAGAATGGTAACATAAGATAAAAAGCTCAGAGATTTAATTTTATCAGAAAAAAATAACTGTAGCCTATTTTTAAATAAGTTACATGAATCTTAATAAAAGATGAATCTCTTGAATGGTTTTATACTATTTTGTTATGCTTGATACTATTATATATGAAGTTATGCTCAACAATTTCAAAGAAAGACATTATGGTAGTTACTGTTAATTACGGGTTGTCTTGTGGTGAAATACTGTGTTGCTTACATTGTTCTGTTCTAATCTGCTTTGTTATGTCCTCTTTTGTCTTAATCTCTTTAAAATAAAAAAAAATTTTAAAAATATAAAAGATAAATCTTGATTTTTTTCAGATATTTACTCAGAAGTTATATTTATAAAGTTTGCAAGCAGAGCAAAATAAACAAGCAAAAACCTTTACATTACTATGAAAAAACCGATTTTGTACTTACATTGTTTGATCAATTATGCATGCCTATATCTTGTAATCTGAGCAACTATTTTGAAGATAACAATGTACAATATATTAACCATTGTCATTTTCTTATTTTCTTGTTTTTGAAATTCTGTATCTTTGTCTTTATTGTTTTTTTTTCCCCTTTAAAATAAAATTTTTAAAAAAGAAGTAATACCTGGGGCTGCTAATGTAGCTCAATGGTAGAATGCTTGCCTAGCATATGCTAGGCCCTGGATTTCATCACCAGAACTACAACAAAATGAGAGAGAGAAAGCGAGAGACAGAGACAGAGAGAGGAAGAGATGGGAAGAGGGTATGTTGTAGCCTAAAAATACCGAGTTTAGATCAATGTTATGAATATACGTGTGATTAAAGAAATTTCACTCTTATCACTGATTTGTCTACTTTTAGTATTAACTGCTTTGCAGCTGTTGAATAGGAATGGTCATAACTTTCTGCTTGTTCATGTACAATGTAATTGTAAACCTGCTTTGTTTCTGATTCAAATATATCTCTAAACAAAGTTCAAATGGAAATAGAAGTTATTATAAAGTCACTCTTCAGTTGTTCTGTAATAGTGATAAGACTCTTAACTCCTGACAGTACTTTTGAAACAGTGGTCACCATCAGCTGCAGCATAGATAGAGCAGATTGTAGGTGTTATTCTTGGGTTATCCATAACACTATATATTCAAGCAGCAATTCTTAACTGGGCATGTGGTGCACACCTACAATTCTAGCTACTGGGGAGGCTGAAGCAGGAGAATCACAAATTCAGGGACAGCTTGGACAATTTGAGAACCTGCCTCAAATTTTTTAAAAAAGTTTTCTTTAAAAAGGACTTAAGCCCAGAGATTTAGCTCAGTGGCATAAGCACATGCCTGGCAAGTGCGAGGTCATGAGTTTAATCACCAGTACCAAAAAAAAAAAAAACGACTAAAGCTGTAGTTCAGTAAAAGAGCATTGCCTACTTTGTATAAGGTCCTGGGCTCAATCTCATACACAAAAAGAAAAGATCTTAAATTGAATACATGAGAATGATACAACCTGGCCTCTCCTGTCTTACTGGGTTTATCAAAATAATAAACACATGGCAAAAACCAAAAATCTAGAAGTCCACAAGGTTGATAGTGAATAACGGTCCTCTCCTCTATGCCTCCCCACCAGAAGTGACCATTTAAGAAAATTATTTTTCAATTATAATTCTTCTAATGTTTTCCATCATATCACTGGATACATGACATCATATCTCTGGATACATGACAGAATACACAATGATATTCTGGTCAATGTGAATGACACATACCATAGGAAATAGCAGGTGACCACACAGAGCCTGGGGTCCAGGGAGCTCCATCTGTTTATGTGCCCTCTGTGACGTTCATGAAGCCAAATCATGCATTTATGCATTTCTCAGAGCACACCACTTCCTGAGTGATGTATGACAATTTGCTTCTATCTTCTTACTTCACTGTATTTGATAATTATTTTCTGCCTTTTGAAAAATACAGACACATTTCAGTCCCCCTCTCCTCCTGCTTCCTGCTCCCAGTACTTATAGAGTTTGTTTAGGCTATTCTTGTATAGCTTGTAATTAAAAATGTCATTTTTTTGTGTGCTGCTGACTTTCAACAGTATATCTGTGAGACTTGCACATGAAGAAAACCAGCAGGCTGCAAAGCAGTGTCAGGACAAATTGATCATTCTGGAACTAGGATGTTTTCCAGGAAATGTCACTGAGCACTCTTGATGTTCATATTCTGAGCTACTGTGTCTTCCATCAAGATGGGCAGATGTGGTTCCACTTGATTTTTCTAACTTTCTTTTCAAAATACTGTACATATACCAAAAAAAGGGCACAAGTGAGGAGATGCAGTGTAGTAAATTATCACAGCGTGAGCTACTGTGTAACTGCCCCACAGTCTAGGGTAAGCATGTCAGCACATGGTCTGCATGTGAGATGTTCCCCAACGCTAATGTGTTGGGGCTTGGTCCTCAGTGCAGCAGTGTTCAGAGGTGGGCTTTGGGGAAGTGACTGGATCGTGAAAGTTCTACCTTCATTAGTGGATTAAAACACCGATGAGTTCATAACCAGTGGGCTGATTAGGAGGTGAGGCCTGACTGGATGAGGCAGATCACCACAGGCATGGTTTTGTCCTCATCCCCTTCCATTCTGGATTTCCCATCCTCTCTGCTTCCTATTTACAAGGTGAGTGGTTTTTCCCTGCCATTCCCTTTCCTCATGATTCCCTATCTCACCACAGGCCCAGAAACTATGGATCAGCTGACCATGGACTGGAACCTTGAAATCATAAGCCCAAATTAACCTTTCCTCTTTTCAAGTGCTTATGTCAGCTTTTTAGTCACAGTGATGAAAAATCAGTAACACCTTAGAAGTGTCCCTGTTGGCTCTTCCCAATCATTGCTTCCCTTACAATGCCCCCAAAATAACCACTCTTATGACTTTAATTGTAAACACTTTGATTTTTTCTTTATTATTTATACTTACAAGCATCCCTAAATACTGTAGATAAGTTTACATTTTTTAGTTGAGTTTGGGGAACTTTCTATAAGTACACAGAGAGTAATCATTAGGTCTTGTTTCTTTTATGCAGTGTTCTACTGGTACGATTCTTCTGTCTGTATAATGTACATTCAGCTCATTCATTTTCATGATTGTAGTAATATAGTATATAAATGTGATGGTTGACTTAGCACTCTATTTGTAATAGAGAAATATGAATTGTTTCCCATTTAGGGCTATTTTAGAAGTTGCTACGATGAACCTTATCATGTATATCTCTTGGAATCTATTTGCATACTTTTCTATTAGCTATAGGCATGACATTAGACTTGCAGAGTCATAATGTATAAATTTTTTCACTTCAGTAATCAATGACAAATTGTTTTCCAAAGTGTTAGTGACAATTTATAATACTGCTATTTTTCTGTATTCTCAGCATCTCAGCAACTCTTGCTATTATCAGTCTTTTGCATAGAGGCATATTGATGAATGTATAGTAAAATCTCACTGTGATCAACATATACACATATCCTTCATTAATTATATTAAGCACATTTTATGTGTTGTTGGGCCACTTTAGCTAACTTCATGTGTGACATGCCCATTTTTAATTAGGTTATTTTTTGATTTAGAAGAATATATCTTATATTGTCAGTAACACATGTTACAAATATTTCCCCAATAGATAGCTAGTCCTTTTATTCTCATAAATTATCTTTGGTTTTTTAAAAAATATAATTTCAACAAAGTATAATTTATCAATCTTTTACTTTTTGATTAGTGCTTTTTATAATTTGTTACAAAATCTTCCCCTATCCCAAGATTTAACTTTAGGATCTTCTATAAATATTCTTTTTTGCCTCTCTAATTTAGATCTTCAGCCCACGCAGAATTGATTTTGTATGTATTAAGGGCCAGTGTTCATGATTTTGCATGGATATTTAACTATCTCCGTTCCATTTACTGAACTGATCATTCTTGTCTTACTGCTCTAAAATGCTACCAGTTAGATAAGTCAGGTAGTCACGAATCTGCTTCCAGATTCCTGATTCTATTCTGTGGATCTGTTTGCTGCTGGTCCTTGTCTTAAATATTGTACCTTTGTAACAGGCCTTAGTGTATGTCAGAGCAAGTTCCCCACTCTTATCTTTCTTCTTTAAGACAAATTATATCCATGCTTATGATGAGATTAACATAAATTTCCCTAGTCTCATATTAATTTATCTTTCTCTGTAAGTTTGTGTAAAAATTATACCAATTATTTCTTAATTTTTAAAATTGCTTGGGGAGCTAAATGTGCCTGAAATGTTTTTTGACATCATGTTTTTTTTGAGACAAGTTCTCACTGTATAGTTCAAGCTGTCCTTGCATTCACTATGTAACCCAGGTTGATGTAAAGCCTCTGAAGTTTGTTGAGATAATATAGCAAAGAGAATGATAAATTTTTGTAAATATTCTGTATGCAATTCAAAGTCAGATGTTTCTTCAACTCTCTATAATACACGGTAGGAAAAGTCTATTAACTGTTATCTTCTCATTGCTTACTTATTCTGTACTGCTTTTTGTATTAGTGTCAAAAAAAGTATTCATTGTTATTTTCAGGTGTGTGTTTTGGTTTTATTTGGGACTAGGGAGATTGGTTTTCATTTGTTTATTTGTTTTATGATGCTGGGATTGAACACAGAGCCTCATGCATGGTAGGCAAGTGGTATATCTCCAACCCAAGAGAAGTATATTTAATTTCCCACAGTGATTACAAATATGGATATGTCCCCTTTTTAGTTGTCATTTTTAAAATTTATTTATTTTAAGGCAATATTATTAGATACATACAAATACTTTTATTCCTTTATCATTCTACTTAAATATACTTGCTTGAGTTATAGAAGTCTAATATTACTTGGTGCTTTTACTCTCCTGGACAATTCAAGAGGTCAACAATCTTAAAACATTATATCTATGTGTATGTTCGTGTGTGTGTGAATGTGTGTTCTTCCTTAATTATACTGCAGGCATTGTGATACATTTTAATTTCATATATACTTTAAATCACACAAGACATTATTATTATTATTACTATTATTATTTTCATTACTCTTCATTTCTTCCCCTGTCTGACTTGCTCTTCTGGTATCTTTCTCCTGATCCCTAAAGAACCCTCGGTAGAATCTCCTTTAGTGTGAGTAGGCTATAAATTTTTATTTAATTGAAAATAGTTTACTTCAGCCTTCTTGAAAGATATTTTGACAGGTGCAAAATTCTACACTGGAGATATTTTCTATTAGCCCTTTAAAAATAGTCCTTATATTCTGGTCTCATTATTGCTGTTGAAAGATGAGCTATAAATCCAGTAGTTTCTTTGAAAATGATTTGTGTTTTTCCCTGACTGATTTTAAGGTTTCTGTTTCTTTGGCTTTTAGCAGTTTTGCTACAATGTGACTCTCACAGTTTTTTGTTTGTTTTTCTCTTTGACTGGTTGTTTATTGCCTATTAGAAATTATATTTGCAGCATTACTTTTAAAGATCATCTGAGTACCAGGATAATGTTGCTTTCCTCAGCACAGCTTCTGCAGGCACCTGAGTAGACCAGGACCACTTTGGTCAGAGCCAACCATGGGTGGGAACTGGCCTGCAGCTCCTTTAAGAGT